GGGGGGGGGGGGGGGGGGGAATCCACAATATGTCTAAAAGCTTGCCCTTCATCAACTGCATTGTGGATAGTAGCCTTTTGGATCTTGGTTACACTAGAAGTCCTTTTACCTAGTGTAATGGCTGGGCACCTACTAAGAGGATATGGGAAAGACTGGATAGAGCTCTTGTTAACTCGGCAGAATTTTGCAGATACCTCTGGCACACACTTGGTCAGAACTGGCTCTGATCATGCTCATTTGCTTGTTTCCACGTCTAATCCACAATTGGAGCCTAAAAAGTATTTCAGATTCTTAGATCTTTGGACTGCACAAGAGGGTTTTATGCAAGTGGTGGAACAAGCCTGGAAACTACAAGTAGATGGAGGCCCTACGTGGAGATTTCATCTCAAGCTAAAAAATGTCTATAAAAGTCTTTCCTTTTGGTCCAAAAATTCTATTGGGAATATTTTTGATAAGACTAAGGAATTGCAGAATATGCTTGAGGTATTAGAGGAAAGATGCCTAAATGAAAATTCTGAAAGCAATAGGATGGAAAACAATAATGTGAATGCACAGTTGATTAAGCACATAAAAAATGAAGAGTCATTTTTGGAGACAAAAAGTTGGCTTGAAGTGGTTTACGGATGGTGACAATAACACCAGGTTCTTTCACTCTGTAATTAATTCTAGAAGGAAAAAATTATAACTTACAAGAATCAATAAGCAAGATGGTACCTGGATTGAGAACAAAGATGATATAGCTATTGAAGCTATTAACTTTTTTGAGCGGCAATTCAGACAAGAAAATACTTGCAGAGATTTTTCAAAGCTTAGGGGGCTTAACAGAATAATAAATGAATAAGATAACTTGGTTTTAGAGGCACTCCCTACCATGGATGAACTGAAACAGGTAGTATCTCCATGGATAGCAGCAGCTCTCCTGGCCCCGATGGCATTTCTGAAAAATTCTTTCAACACTGCTGGAATATAATTTCTGCTGATCTCTATCAGGTGGTTTTGGAATTCTTCTCTAGGCAACCACTTCCTAGATCATTCACTCATACATGTCTTGTCTTTATCTCTAAAATTGATAACCCGCAATAATTCACTGATTTCACGCCTATTAGTCTAAGCAACTTCACTTCCAAAATTATCTTAAAGTTGCTTAATAGTAGGCTAGCCCCTCTTATGAACATGATTATTTCTCCAAACCAAATTGGTTTCCTTAAAGGTAGGTCAATCTCAGATAATGTCATGCTTACTCAAAAACTTATTCATAACTTGAATAGGCTCAATGTCAATGGTAATGTAGTTTTTAAGCTAGACATGGCAAAGGCCTTTGATAGAGTTCCTTGGGACTACCTCTATCAAACCATAAGGCAATTAGGCTTTTCTGAATGTTGGATTGATATGGTTGCAAGATTGATCTCAAACAATTGGTACTCCATCAATGTCAATGGAGTGAGACATGGGTTTTTCAAATCCTTTAGGGGCCTTAAGTAAGGAGACCCACTATCCCCCTCACTTTTTATCATTGGGGCAGAATTGTTGTCTTACATGATGGACCAGCTAGTACATGATAATTTTATTAATTTTTCTATGGATCGAGGTAGTCCTTTAATCACTTACCTCACATATGCTGATGACACCGTCCTCTTCTCCTCTGGTGACTTATTATCTATTGCCATGATGATGAAAAAGTTGGAGAACTATGAACAAGCCTCAGGACAAATGGTGAATAAAAGAAAATCTACATTCATGGTATCTTCTAAAACTCCTTCAACTGTAATTGAAGACATCTAAAGCATTACCGGTTTTTCCCATTCCCAGTTCCCTTTTACTTATTTGGGTGCCCTATTTACCCTGGGAGAAAGAAAATTTGCTACTTTGGAAATATGGTGGCCAAAATAGCAAATAGAACTCAGGGTTGGAAAGGAAAAATTCTCTCTTTTGGGGCTAGAGCAATCCTTATCAGGTCTGTATTGCATTCTATTCCTTTACATACCATATTTGTTGTGCATCCACCAAAAACTATCCTTTATCATATTGAAAAATCTCTTGCTAGTTTTTTCTGGGGTACAATAGAGAGCAAGAGAAGTTATCATTGGTTTTCCTGGTAGAATTTATGTTATCCTAAGATGGAGGGAGGGGTAGGTTTTAGATCATTGCATGACATTTGCATTTCTTTTGCTGCTAAATCCTGGTGGAATTTTCAGAACTCAAAAGTCTCTTCTCACCCTCTTCCTGGAAGCTAAATACTGCAAAAGATATCATCCAGTTGCTAGAAAAAAAGAGTTATACTTAGTCACACTCTTGGAGAAGGCTAACGGATATCAAGAAAAACTGTGAAACACATTTTATGGAATGTAGGAAAAGGTAACCTTTTCTTTTGGTGGGATAAATGGACCAATAAAGGAGCCCTTGCTAATTTAGTTCAACAGGGAAACAAGTCCCAGAAGATAAAAGTGGCTGATTTTATTGCGCACAACCAATGGAAGCTAGATAAACTTAGTGATATTCTCCCTTCTAATTTGGTTTCTCATATTCAATCTATCAAGATTTCTCATGAAGAGAAAGATCTTCCTATTTGGCTCGCAAACCCCACTGGATCTTTTTCTAGTAAATCAGCATGGAAAACTTTTGGAAAATCTAGAGGCTCTTCCTTCACTACAACTAAGATCTGGCACCGTAAACTACCATTTAAAGTATCTTTTCATGTTATGAGATTATTATGGTAAGCTTGCAACTGATGACTCTTTGATCAGGTTTGGCGTTCATGGGCCCTCAAAATATAATTGCTGCATCAATAGCAATATGGAAACTACAAACCATTTATTTTGTGATGGTGATGTGACTCTAAAAGTTTGGAAATATTTTCAAGATGCATGTGGATTGTCTATTAACTCTGTTGGTGGTATTCGGGCCAAATTCATCAGATGATGGCTCGTCAAACCACAAAACAAAGTTCATGACATGATATTGCAACGTCTCCCCTCTATTATCTGTTGGGAATTATGGAAATATAGATGTACCTACAAATATGAGGGTATTAGAAGTTCAATTCATAGAATCATTGGTCAAATTACCTACTTGATGCAACTGTTGCTTTCTACTGAATTTCTTTCTCCGCCTTTTATGTCTTCTTTCCCGAGGATATGTCAATTGGTAGATATAATCAAACCTCAACTACACATTCTTCCTGTGAGATGGAATAAACCGAGTGTTGGGGAATTCAAATTAAATGTTGATGGTTGTAGCAAAGGAAACCCAAGTAATGCAGGAGGTGGAGGGGTGTTAAGAGATCATCTCGAACGTTTGATCATGGCTTTCACTATTTACCTTGGTAGTTGCTCAAACAATTCAGCTGAAGCTCAAGCATCAAAACCAGAGTTAGATGGTGCTTAGATCATGGCTTCAACAGGTTGACAGTTGAGTCAGATTCTCTTGTTGTTATCCAGATGATAAGCGGAGAAATTTCTACTACTTGGCATATAAAGGATGAGATCTCAACGATTCAAGCAATGAATCTAATTGAAAATTTTCATTATGTTCACACACTCAGAGAAGGTAACAGCAGACCTCCTAGCTAATATAGCTTAAGTAGAGAGGAAGAGTCAGTTCTTCGCTGAGGCTATAAATCTTCCAAGGCAGTTTATATCCTTATTGAAGAATGACGAGAAAGGGATGCCAAATTCAGAATCAGAGTAAGAAAGAGGACCTTTATTTTTGATCCAGGCTGACTGATCTTTCTTAGTTCCTTTGTTTTGTGAGCTAATCTGTTTAAGGAGCAACCCTCCTAATTCTTGTTGGACTAGTCAAATTGTAATGGATGGACTTAGTCCATCCCAACTTTCCTCTGAGAGGTTTGGTTTATGCCCCCCTCTATGTACATCTTGACTTATCAATGCATTCTCCAGTTAAAAAAAAAAAAAAGAAAGAAAAAAAGAAAGCCTATTAGGAGTTTTACGTGTTTTTAGATCAAGAAGATGTTCTCTCTTCTTTTTTTTGGGTTAAGAAAAAAATGTTACAGAGGTTCGGCCAAAAAAGGTGAAAATGTTACAGAGGCATGTAAACTTTAATGCTCTTTTATAATTCTGTGGTTTAGATAGTCAAACAGTTTGGTAATGCAGATATTTTATACATTTTATTAGTATCATCCTTGGTCTTTTAATCTTTGCAAAGGAGTCAACTTTGAGCTGAATGTAATCAAAACCAACATAAATATATTAGTTGTCATATGCTGCACCACATAAATCACCATACACAAAACTTCATAAATCACAAATACTTAGTCACGTTACCCCATTGGTGCATTGGTTATATGTTTCTCATTGTTTGTATACAAACACACTATCATTATTGGAGTGTTGTAATTTTTAAAAACTTCATTATTTTCAGCTTTTCAAGAGAAGTTTATGTTCTTTATTTGAGGCATCATTCATTGGAAGACCTTAAAATATGCCAGTTGCGACGATACTAACTTTCCATATACTCTAATTTCTCTCTTATAATTACATGTATTGCCCATACCAAAGGACTACTATATAGAGAGAAAGGGAGAGGGCTAACGAGTAGGACTATGCATAATATGGTAAATATCGAATTATCGTACAAAAATCAAAATATTTAGTATATGGTATTGGGTATTTTTGGTATTTGTTATGGTATTTGGTTTAAGTTTTTAAAATAATTTGGTATTAGATATAGTATTTAAAAAAATAATACCGAAATACCGATACCGTATCGAAATATATACTAAATTACAAATTATAGATATTATTGATTAACATACTAAGTTACACAATACTTTTCTTTTGTATTCATGTTGAGGTTGGCAGTAAAGTCCATGTACTTCTTTAGAAAAATGGAGGAACAAGGTAGGATGCAGATTTTAATTCTTACTTTCTAGGTTGCTTATGATAGGCTATAATTACATATTTTAGTCAATTATTACATTCCAATTCATTGCACTTCAGTTGAGTTTAAGCTTTAATCGCTAGTGTTTGCATTAATTGTGTGTTTTATGCCTTGTAAGAGTGATTCCGAGCTATGTATATGTTATAGAATGAATTCAAGTGATTTGGAGCTTTGAAGTTTGAGTAAAAGCCCAAGGAATTAAACCGGGATCGTGTTCGGGGATCAACGGATGATAGTTAAGAACGAACGAAGAATCGAGTAGGCATATTGCGCACTGTCTAATAAAATGGACGTAACTTTTTGCTCAGAACTCCATTTGATCTCCACAATATATGGTTGGAAAGCCAATTCAAAGGGCTGCAACTTTCATCTTTTATATTTTTTCAAATTTTAAACCAAACAGGGTGAAAAATTCGCGACAAGTGCGCGGCCGCGCACTGGCTGCAGAGTGAGGCAGAAAGTGGCCAAATCCGCGGTTGAATCTGCGGCCGCGGACGTCCTGACCTGGAAAAGTGTCCTTTTACGCGTAGGAGAAGGTATAATTGTTTGGGCCGACCCTACTTGATATATATACATGGAAAAAACGGTATTTTGAGGACCTTTGACATAATTTAGACCTAAGGAGGCTAAGAAAACCGGGGATTCGACCTAAGGAGGCAAGAACACACTAGGAGCAAAGCGGAGAATTCTTCTACAATTTTCTCACTTCCTTCTTCCTATTTCTATTATTGGTTATGAATTCTAGTATTATATTTTTGCATACTATTATGAATAGCTAATTTATTATCTAGGGTTTTGATGGAACCTTTTGGAGGATGAATTCTTCTTATGTTTTTATATAATTGAGCCGTTGGATTTGTCTACTTGTTCAACTTCGTGTTTGTAGCTGTTGATTGAATGGTCATTAATTGATTGTGCCTATTTAGTGTGTACTGCTCGAGAGAGAGTATATATTTAGGTAGTTATTGAACAACATCACTTCTAACGTAGGTGAAAGATCAATACGAAGGGTTTAAAGGCGGAATTAGAGATAACGAAACCTTGGTGCGGTCGTAGTGAGCGATGAATTAAGCGTCAGCTAGTGTAGTTCGAGAGAATACATCTAGTAAATTGCGGTAGTTGCTCGGGAGAGAATTACGACAACTAAAGTACTCACGATCGGTAGAGAATACTTAGGCGAATTTATAGAAGACACAACGGGAAGGATTCCGACAATTGGGAAAATCATAACTCTAGACCTCCTTAGTCTTGTCTTCAATCCTTATCCTTGTTAATTGATAGTTGTACTGCTTTCTAGTATTTGTTAGTTAATTAGATAAATAAACATTATAATCTTCATAATTAGGAAATTGTTTGGACTTATCTTCTTAGTGATATCAAACAACTATAGCTAAGCCTTAATTCTCTGTGGGATTCGACTCCGGACTTTTAGACTGAATTATATTTGCAGCGACCGCTTATCCTTTTTAGGACTAGAGTTGGGTGTGGTCAGTTACCAAGCAGTTTACATAATATTTCAACTATTTTGGGTTGTTTCTTTCACCGTTACTCTTGTATTATTGTTGCATATATAGGATTAATCCTTGTATTCTCTAATTTCAACAATTAACTCTAAGCAAGTAACATGATATTTTCAATGATTAAATGTATTTGTTTGTGTATCTTTTTTCTCTTAGTTGATACTTGATGGTTTTGGACAAAGATTTTATCAACAATCAGGTGAGTTTAGAACGTTTTCATTGAGTACTTTAATTAAGAAAATTACAGTCTATGGCTCTATGCACTAGTTAATATTCCAATTGAATAAACCGAAATTACCGAATCGAATAAACTGAAACTGCAAGGAGAAAAGTCAAACCATACTGAATGTAATTAGGTATGGTATTAGTAATAGCATTTTAAGAAACCAAATACCGGAAATATCAAACCGAAATAATTAAATACCGTACTGTACCGATCCACGAACAACCTACTAACAAGTAACGAGGTCATTCCATACTTGGTGTTTATTGTAGATGACTGCAATTGCAAGACTTCTAGCAGAGTTGATTCCGTTACCGGTGATTGGGATAGTGGCCAGGTGAACCATGAAGACTGCAAATCCAATTGGAAGACCTAGAATTCAAGAAAATCATATATGTACATTCATTAGGTCCCACATGGATGAACTTATATTATCATTTATTCAAGAAAATCATATATGTAAATTTTTAGGTCCCACATGAAATACAAATTTAACTCATTTGATTATTACTAGCAATGTAGATTTTTTTTCATAGTCAATCGAATATAAGTTTTATCATAAAACGAACAAAAGAATGAACTTATATTATCTATTGAAGCATCTATGCAGGTAAAAGAATCATGATTATTCACTTGAATTAATAAAGATCAAATAACAATCTTACATCGTACATGCTTTTAAATTAATGTGGGTGTATAAAAAAATGAAAGATTAGTATAATATAAATTATATTAACTTATTTTTAGAGCATACGACACAGAAGTACTAATTAGATCTACACTCGTGCTTTCAGGAGCACGGTACTCTCACACAGGTACGGAACTAGGTGGATGCAAGGCCATTCGTCCAATTTACACTACACAAATAGGATTCTTTTTTTTTTCGCTTGCATATAAATTGTCAAATTCTCTTGACAAAAGAGAAGATTCAAGTGTACTGTCAAAAGGAAGTTCACAATTAAAAATAAATGGAAGGTTCTTCTGCTATGAACAAGTTAGATTATGATCCATTATTTGAGTCAATCCATATTTTTTCATAACCCAATCCATGTTTATCCAAGTAAATTATGAAGGATTGGATCATGACGTATTTATTTGCATGACTCAGTTTGGCTCATCTAAGTTTGATTCAACCGGATCATTTGCCACCCCTTTCTAAAACAAAAAGGAGAAACTCACCTGAAATGCAAGCAGTAGATAAGAGGGAAAACCATGCCACCAAAGGCCCAAGCAATCCTTGCTTTACCACTCACATATCCAATTATGGTCATCACTCCCATGTAAAGTAACAAATGAGTTGCTACAAAATTCTCCAATCAAAAACTACATTTTTTGCTCCGATAATGCACTACTCACTTCCTCTGCCATTTTTGCTTTAAGTCAAGAGATAGTAGTGGCAAGATAATATAATCAATGAACTTAGAAAATGCAAGTATAAGGTGGAATTCATTAATATTGGATAAAAGTGACGAGGCTGTTGACTTGGCCTTCTATTTCATTCTTATTCCGTCGCAATGCCAGAAATTCATATAAGGAATTCAAAAGAATATTAAAATGTCGCACCTAGCATTTAAATTTGTGGCTTTTGCCACTAAATCAGAATCTTGTAAGAACCAAAATACTTTAGGATGAAATCCTTCAATCTTTTACCCAAGACCTATCATGTCAAATCATCAAAAATAAAAGTTAGATTCGGGAGCGTACCTGAATCCATAGGAACAAATGAAACTGTTCGTTTTGCGGTTAGTGATCTTCCAAATCAAGACTTAGGAATTGCACAAAAGACGACTCTCCCTTTTCCACCGATGGGATATTAGAAAAGAACCATACGTTTGATTTGGGGACCATAACTCATTTATAATTGCACATTTTTATGTAATTCTAATTTAGCCCATTATTAAACTAGAAATTACATCCGGAAATCTACACATTAGACCCCATATATTAGTAGGTGTTTTATAGACCCATTTAACTTTAAACATTATCAGATCACTTTTAATTTGGGTCAACCTTTTGATGATAACAACCAACATACAATTATTCTTAATACCATATATGTGCAAGTCCATAAAAAATTCTAACAATCTCCCACTTGGACTACACATATAACTCTATAATTATATGTCACCTTATGAACTCAAAATATTTGCTATCACAAACCAAAGTACATCCAAACAATCTCGTCCATCAATCATGCCAATAATGAAGTAAGGTGGCTTTCGTTACATTTATCATAAGTAAACCTTCCTTGATCACGAATACCAATATAATCAAATGACATAGATCAAGTGTGGATATGTATCATGAAAATTACATGCAATGTGACCCAAGCATGCCTATTTTCAACTGG